TCCACATCCTTTTTACATCATGGCGACCAAAAATGAATGCCGTATTACAAGTGTGGACTTACCAAGGCCTTATAAAGTGGTATTAACACTTGACGTGATCTTGATTCTATCCCTCTGTTGATGCAGCCTAGAACTGTGTTGGCTTTTGTGGCAGCTGCTGCACACAACTGGCTCCTATTTAAATGGTTCTCCACCAGGATTCCAAGATCCCTCTCACAATTATACACAGTTACACATCACAGGATGTGTGTTCATCGTGTGTGTGTGTCTATGTGCTCACAGTTTAAAGATCTTGGATGTCAACGCAGGAAACTATTAAGCCGAGGGAGGTCGAGGATTGTATGATGGATAAACAAACAGCGCAGCCGGACAGCACATCTGTTGCAACTACACAGCAAACACATTCACACACCCAGAGCCAAACTCCGAAAGAAAACAACAGTTGTCCCATCTGAATGGCTGGCCGGAGACCTTTGTGGGTTCATTTCAGACGGAGAATGGATGCTTCCTTTGGAAGCAATGATGGATCCTTTCGGCACTTGGTTATCTGTCTGTCTCCCCCCCCCTACTCCCCCCCACACAAAGGATGCTCTTCCTTTCTATGCCCCCTACGCTATCAGTCACCAAAAATAATCACAAAGCTTATCTCAGCTCGGATGTGAAACAACTTCCTACCACCGCTCTGTGTGTGTGCGTGAGGAAGATGGCTAACGGGCAGCTCAGAGGATGGGGGCGATTTTTGAGTTTCCCATTTCTGGCCTTTGCTGGAAAAATTAACACATGATGTTGCATCTGATGCTTCTTCATTGTTTTTATTAAAAAAAATAGTTTTTGGGGAGGAAAATTTGGTTGGTTTTGACGGCTCTTTTTGCAAAACAGGTTTGGTATGGAATGTCTCCAGAGAAGCACAACAGCTGAGCTTGTTGGGGATGTTACCAGAAACTTAATAGTAAAGAGAATGTATATTGGATTATTCATGTAATAACCGCAGCTAGAATTGTATTGGCACAAAACTGGAAAAGTGAAGAGATCCCTGCAGAGGAGAATGGGATTAGGAAAATATGAGAATGTGCCGAAATGAATGGATTAACACTGGCAATTAAAGAGAAAGAACAAACTGGTTATGATGCGATACAGGGAAAAATTTATCGATGGTTAGAGGATAAATATAAAAAGTAGATATAAAAGTAGATGAGCAAAATATAGAAAATAGTTAATAGAGTTAAGCAAACTAAGAAGAGGATGTAAAGTATCAGATTTTTTTTAAGCATAAAGATCATTTTGCAACATTTCTACATCATTAAACACCTATTGGATTCCTTTTATCTGTACATATATACCTTTATATATCTATANTTGTATGAAATGGTATAAGGCAGTGATGGGGAACCTATTCAGCACCAAGTGACCAAACTGGAACACATGTGCGCACCAGAGCACCAGAAATCCAAAGACCAGCTGGCTGGAGCGCGCACACACACTGGCCACCAGGTCTCCTGGTTTCCAGCATGCGCACTGGCCACCTGGTCTTTGGGTTTCTGCCGCGCACATGTGCACCAGCCAGTTGGTGTTCGGGGTTTCCGGCACCCTGGCATGCATGAAGACCAGCTGGCCGGCATGCATATACAAGCCAGAATCCAGAAGAGCAGCTAGAGACTGCGCACATGCCCATAAAGAGGGCTCTGTGTGCCACCTTTGGCTTGCGTGCCATAGTTTCGCCATCACGGGTATAGGGATTCTTGCCTGAGCAGGGGGGTGGACTAGAAAACCTCCAAGGTCACTTCCAATTCTGTCAATAGCCAAAGGCTCCGCATCCTTGTTGCATGTCCTGATTGAGCTACCGAATTATTATTTTTCTGCTTCCAATAATTTATCCAGTAGCATTTGTGACAGACTCCTATCTTTATAAGTTTTTGGCCTTGAACGGAGTGCAACGAAGCTCATTTTGCTGTGTTTCCTGAGCTCCAGGAGCTGAACAAAACATTCTTCCAATTTTATATTGTCAAGTCCCTGGGGGGAAAGGCCAGATAGTAACAGCGTTCCATCTTTTCATGTTGAACCTAACACAGACTCTGTTTTTCTGCCAAAAGTCCCTGCTGTGCAATTCAGGTTTCAGCAGCCGAAGGAAAAAGAGAATGGCTCACAGCTCACCTCAAGGAAGGACATGTGGAGCAGGATGCTATTAAAGCCTTAGTAAGGGATCTGGGGTGGAGAGGGGAGGTGGCAGGTTGTGTAATGCGACACCAAAATAGAGCCATTAAAAACCTGC